ATTGCTTTTTTGAAGTAAATTTACAAAGTGCTAAACATTTGATTAAAATGAATGATGATTCAGTAGTTACAGCATGTGGGAGGCAACCCCATACTATTTAAGGTCATTACCTTAATCTAACATAAAGGTTTTGTGGGTTTTTTTCCCCCTTTGCTTTTATAAATGAAGAATGGTGCTGCCTGAAAGCTGTCTGGGAATTCAGCCAAAGAAAGAAGAAGGATGCAAAACCTCTGGGGACTTGAAAAAAAAAAGTGGCTGGCACTAGCTCGTTCCTCACTTAAAACTAAAATTAAAACAATAGACAGGCATGTACTGTAATCTCTCTTTTAAGGAAAGAATAGAATGCCTCTATAGTAGTGTCAAGTGGAACAATTTGGTCCTTGCCCAAGTTATGCAGCTGTTCCACAGGAAAATGGCAAAAGGCTTCAGTCCAAAGCAGGCAAATAAAGCATGATTGTTCATAAACAGTCACTGGGGCCCTCACATTTAGAACAAGGAAAACACCATTAGCATACAGGAGGGCAGGTTAGGAAGGCAAGTCTCAGTACAACTTGAGCATGCCATCATGCTGTGATTTACACAAAAGATAGTGGTGTTATTTTGTCTACTACCAATGTACCTAATAACCATGAATAACTTATTCGACAAGAAGTCATATATTGGTCAAATACTTTTTAAGAAACAATAAAGATTTGGTTAAGGAGTAAATATATATTTAAGTAAGCTACAAGATGTAAAGGAATCATATATTCATTATTCATTTCTGACTCTCACCTGCTCATTAGAGGTAGATCAGGTAAAGGATCAAGATAAAAGAAATTAAGTGTTCTGGGATCCAATAAAAAGCTAAGCCACGTGGTATTTGCCTTTTTGTGCCTGACTGACTTCACTTAAACTCATATGTGCAATCTACAAAAAAAGAAAAAAAATGTGGTTCTCATAGAAGTAGAGAGTAGAACAATAGTTATCAGAGCAGAGGGAGGAGGAGGAAGGAGGAAAAGTGGTGCACTAACAGGCACAAAACTATGATATGTACCCTAAGTGAACCATTGTGCAGTGTATGCATGTATTGAAACAACATATTGTACCCCACAAATGTGTACAAATAAATGTAAAAAAATAAAGTGAGCACTAGTGCTGCTTATCAGTGGCGCAAAAAGAACAAAATGGGGAATCAGGTGCAATAGTTGCAAAGTAATGAAGTGGAATTTTGACAGCAGGCAATTCGGACCTGCCCAATGGGTGTGTGTGATATCACATACTTCATCTTTACACTCATTGTTTTGATACTTTGCTAAAATATGGACGGACTCCACATTTTTTCTAAATTATTACATTTGATTTTAGAACTTCTGCAATGACATACTTTTTTCTCATCCCTCTTCCACTTTTCAGGATTCATTTTCTGAAATGGGTGATCTCCACATCAGTGATTATCTTCGCTTCTCCACCACTACTAACTCCCTGATTAATCCATTTCAATTTGCCTTCTGTTCTCTTTGCTCTAGTGAGACTGTTTCCTTTATGATCAGTAAGATTTCCTTCTGGGAAAAACCAATGATTTCTTTTTAGTCTTCCCTTGGATTTTTGTTTTGTTTTGTTTTATCTGCCTCATCTGGCACCGTTGGAGATACAACAGAAGGCTAGAAGTTAGACTGTCTTTAAAGAAGTTAATTCATTCATCTATTGGAAATGACAGTTTGCAAATGTAGAGGAATTGATTTTAAGATGATTAGGAAAAACAAAAGAGAACACTGGCCGAAAGGAAGGAAGGAATCAAAGAAGTTGACTATAACTTTAATGTCAATAATCTGGCAGGCTATAGGGAAAGAAAATGATAAAGGGAAAGTTGGGAATGGAGAAATAATACAAGAGAACAAGTTAATACATATGAGGTACTTCAAAAGTCATGGAAAAATAGAATTACAAGATAATATGACTTTTTCTATGCAGTACCCTCACATTTACTTGTGGACCATGGCAATGTAGAACATAACATTGGGACCTATTAGGATTACGATAGACTACAATGATCATTTTTTAGCCTTTATGGAGCTGATGAGTTAATTGACAAAAGAAACTAGGCTTTTTTATGTGACTATAAACCATACTAGAAATTATCAGTTTGGCAGGAATTTGACAAGTTTTCAGAAAGAATATGAATATAGAAGAAAGCCTCATGAAGAGGGATGGTAAGAGTAAAATGTATACTGAGACTAGCTACTTCTTCACCCTACAGCATCCAGGGGCTCAACTTCAAAGCTGAAAATAATTGTCAGGCCCCTTCTAGTTTTTCGAAAGTAACTTTGGCTATCCTAAGTGGCAATTTAGACTCAGAAACTGAAGTAACAGCAAATTGAAAGAGTATAAGTTTTGAGCAGGGCTGAACTGAGTTCAAATCCTGACTCATCCATTTTAAAGCCAGAAGAAGAAGAAAAATTTGATTAACACTTGTGAGATTAGTTTTATTTTCTGTGAAATAAGGAGCATTTCTCATTTCCTTTATTTGTAAAGTGATATTAATCAGGTTCCCTCTGAGAAAGGTGGTATTTCTTATTTCCTAAACATCCTGAGCTTTTGTATTCTTAAATAAAAGATAATTGTACTTTTCATTCATCTGTAGTGCAGAGGATGATTACACCTCCAAGCTTATTTCTGGGTAACTGAAACACAGAGACTCACAATAAGGCACCCCTATATCGGAAGTGAATGATATGAACTACTTAAATATCTAATTACACAAACATTGCAATCTAATTATTCTTGTAAATAAAATGAAGTCTCTATTGTTGGGAGTGGACCTAGAATCAAAGAGCAGATCACTGACAGACAAGTGGATGCTACCCGAGCAGGCATGTATTTATTTCCAAGCATTCTATACCTCATGTTTCTCACCTTCCCCTTATTTTGTTGCATAAATTGTATACATATATTAAATGTACACATATGTACTTCCGGATAAATCTGAGGGAGAGAAAAGGAAAAACAAAAATCTTTTGCCATATCTTGATCCTGATCATATTTCTTCATATCCTCACATACTGACCCCTGAGGTTGTAAGTAGGAAACAACATAATTGGAAAATAATAATGGGAAGAAATGGGAGTTGAGATGGAAGAGAAAGTTAAGAAAAATTTTTTGGTGTTACATACTCAGCATCAGAAGAAATTAGGATTTAAGTATGTTCAAAGCCAACTAGAGTCCAGCACTCTTCTTTCCTTAAAGAATTGAACTTGTAGCCAAATGCTCTTGTTGAAGCTATAATGCTGAAATACACTTGTCACATATAAATAGCATTTTGTAGTGGAAAAATGTTTTCTGTAAGCAATTTAAGATTCTCAGAAGGTAATGAAAGTGAGTTGTGCACAGTACATGTAGTAAAGCTACTATGCTAAAATGTGTTCCTTTTAGGTCTAAAATGACTTCAAATGTTTCTTAAAGGGTAGGAGAAAAAGATGAATTCATTCATAAAATGCTCTTTAAATCAGTATACTTGCATCTGAACAAAATAATTACTAGAAGAGAGAACAGTTTTAAAATATAAAAACTGTGATGAAGAAGGTGTGAATTCACAATATGGTAAAAAATTATAATGACATGTAATTGAGGAAGTAAAAATATCAGGCTTGCTTCTATCTTTTTTTTTGTCCTTTTTTTTTGAGACCAGCCGCACCGTGCTCAGCCAGTGAGCGCTGTGAGTGCACCGGTCATCCCTATACAGGATCCAAACCTGCGGCAGGAGCGCCACTGCTCCCAGCACCAGACTCTCCCGAGTGCGCCACGGGCTCGGCCCTCAGGCTTCTATCTTAAAATTATTTTAGAAAAATTCCCCATGGGATAAAACAAAACATACACTTAAATAATATAATTATTATCAGAAGCAAATTTTCAGTAACCTGATTTGCACAAAAGCTATCTCATATAGTTATTTAGTTCTTAAATTTTAAACAGACTGAAAATCAATTAGAGCTTTTTAAAAATCAAGTAGATTACATAAAGCCAGGCCTAGAATGTTACTACATTAGAATATTGCTTTCAAATAATATTTAATTAAATTGCTTTCAAATAATATTTAATTAAATAATCCATATTTAAATAATCCATACTTAAATTTTACATAAAAATAGGTGTTCTGGGCTGGCCCGGTGGCGCACTGGAGAGTGTGCCGCTTGGAAGCACGGCGGCGCTCCCGCCGAGGGTTCGGATCCCATGTGGAGACCGGTTCCCGCTCACTGGCTGAGCGTGGAGCGGGCGCAACACCGAGGGTTGCGATCCCGTTGCCGGTCCCCAGTACGGGCGCAACACCGAGGGTTGTGATCCCGTTACTGGTCAGTAAAAAAGACAAAAAGGGAAAAAAAAAAATAGGTGTTCTATGAGTTAGCTGTTTGTAAACATGAATATCAAAATGTAAAGTTTTAGAGTTCAAGTGACATTGGCAAGCACATATTCTAATAATGAAATCACTTTACAATTGAAAATATTGAGCTTGTGATTCTATATACATTACTTCCAAGCATATTATATTCACAAAGTGTGTCTTATTGGGTGCTACAGTAGATTTGATTTTCCTTATTATGAAAATGATTCCCTATGTAACTTTGGAACTTAGGCTTACTTGGGGGATATTTAATATTTTCAAAGTTTTTCATGGGCAAACTTAGTTCAACATTATATAACTTTTATCAGTCTGATGATGTAAACAGCAAATGATTATGTCTACAACACCTTTCAGGTTGAAATACCCACTGGAAAAAAAAAAGAAAAAAGAAGAAAGACAAATCACAGCTGGAAACCTTCCCAGAAGCTTCACCAGATGACAAAGTAAAAACCAATCTTCCACAGACACTTAATGAAGACGTGGTTAAGGGGGTTTTCAGTTCTAGAGATAACTTCGCCCATCAAGAAAAGACCAAAACAGTTGATTTCTACTGTTAAAGTCTGCAATCAAAGCCGGATAGAAGAAAAAGTAAAAAAACTTTATTGTTCATTAAATCACTTACAGTGGTTTTCCTTTGGATTCACAAGTCAAAATTAAAGGCTGTCCTTCTTGTGGAAAAGGAGTGGAGGGTATAATCTTAACTGATGGTGTATCTAGGAAAAAAAATAGAAATATTAAGAAAGGTCATTAAACACATATATAAAAGTATACATTTAATAACTGTGCATCATGTTACATGTATGGCATTTCATATGTGTTTCTTATAATCATATATATGTACAAGGGTTTCTTAGATTTGGTGAAACAGGGTGTATAATTTTAAAAAGCTACCATCCTGTCCATCCAAAGCTAACAAAAATATCTGAATATCTATGAGCGTCCCTGTTGTATTATTTGTGAAATCAGAATTTAAAAGTGAAATTGCAAAAAGTGGTTCAGATGAATATCAAGCATTTCATACAATTGTTTCTTCAACTATTTATAGATGGCTATGAATACTATTATTATGGACTGAATGCATTTATGTGCATTTGAATAACAACACTTCCATTGTTGCAGGAATATCAGGGATTCACAATAAGAAACCCAAAATGAACTCAAGATCAACTACTGTCTAACAAGCACTATGCAGAATCTTTGAAAATACAGTAATGCAGCACGAAGCACATGCTGCTTGCTTAAAATACAGTTAGCAAATCACTTAAAATAGCTATTTATAATATTACTAAAAGTTAACATTTTGTCATATATGCTCCAACATAATGGTTAGAAAATTATTTATTTCCATTTAACAATAAAATCATCCCTAGTGGAAGAGAATCCAAGAATGCTTTAAGACATTTATTTATAACCTGTATGCCATGTAATAATCTTTAATCAACACAAAGACACATATTACCTAAAAGAAATGGAAAATAAGATTAAAAAGAGAAAGGGACAGTATAAACATACTCATTCTTTTTGGGACTTTGCTCATCTTGGCACTGTCTGTCAATATGGAATTGCCTTCTCCTCTTATCCTGCATCTTCTACAATAAGCAAAGTAGGCTCTGAACTCTCCAAACATTCACAATCAATCTTGCCTTCTCTTAGAAGGTAATAGACAAACTGAACTGCCCTTGACCTTATATTCACTCTCTGACTTTGAAGTCAGTTAAGTATCATTTAATCAGTTGTGTAATTTCAGGTTAGTTATCTTACCTAAGGAAAATATTTTCCAGATTTGTCAAATATAAAACAATAGTCTATGATACTATGGAAGACCTTATTATACTTTTGAAAATTACTTATGCTTTTCAAATGCATTCTTTCTCAATCCTTTAAACAAGAAAATACATTTCAGATAAAATAATAGTCTGATTACAAACAGGCATTCCATATACACCACGGTAAATAACTATGGTATAAAATAAACCAGTAAGAATTTTTTTTTTAAAGAAAATGTAATTTTATTAATATTATTATTTTACATTCTAGGATGTTGTTGTGGAGCAGTTGGGAGGGAGGAGGAGAGGGGAAAGGGGAAGGAAATGTGGTGGAAGCAGGAGGAAGGAGGAGGGGCAGGATTGAGCCCTGTGGCACCCCCGTCATTACTATAGGGAGACCGGAGGGCTTCCGGCAGTGGCTTGGTCACTGCTGGTCTGGGTGCAGATGTCAGGGGGTATGGCAAAAGCCCCCATCCCACACCACCCCACCTCAGGAACCTGGGGTCCTTCTTGCTGCAGTTTGGTGGTCATCACTGTGCTGGTTGTGCATGTTGTGGGGGTGTGGGCAAGGCCCTCAGATCACCACGGGGCTGGCTCAGGGAGAGCCTGGGGCACTTCCTGTGGTGTCTCAGTGATCACCACTGGGCTGGCTGCCAGGAAGGAAAATTAATTTAAAGAAATATGATACAGTGTGGTATTGATTTGAAATTCCCAAATACTGAGTGATGTTGAGCATTTTTTCATGTGTCTGTTGGCCATTTGCATATTTTCCTTTGAGAAATGCCTATACAGCTCCTTTGCCCATTTTTTTTTTTTTTTGTCTTTTTCCATGTCCGGCAACGGATCGCAACCCTCAGTGTTGCCCCCGTACCGGACCGGGGACCGGCAATGGGATTGCAACCCTCGGCGTTGCTCCCGCGCCTCGCTCAGCCAGTGAGCGGGAACCGGTCTGTATGTGGGATCTGAACCCTCGGGCGGGAGCGCCGCCGCGCTTCCCAAGCGGTGCACTATCCAGTGCGCCACTGGGCCGGCCCTGCCCATTTTTTAATTGGGTTACTTGTTTTATAGCTGTAAATTTGTTTGAGTTCCTTGTATATTCTTGATATTAATCCTTCGTCAGATGTATATTTTGCAAATATTTTCTCCCACTTTGTTGGTTGTCTTTTCACTCTGCTAATTGTTTCTTTTCTTGTGCAGAAGCTTTTTGGTTTGATATAATCCCATTTGTTTATTTTTCCTCTGGTTGCCTGTGCTTTTGGGGTCGTATTCATGAAGTCTGTACCCAATCCTACTTTCTGGAGTGTTTCCCTTATGTTTTTTTTTTAAGGAGTTTATTGTTTCAGGCTGTATATTTAATTCTTTAATCTGTTTTGAGTTGATTTGGGTAATGGTGAGAGGTATGGGTACAGTTTCATTCTCCTGCATATGGATATCCAGTTTTCCCAGCACCATTTGCTGAAGAGGCAGTCTCTTCACCAGTGTGTAGACTTGGTGCCTTTGTCAAAGATCAGATGGCTGTAGTTGTATGGGTTGATTTCTGGATTCTCTATTCTATTCCATTGATCCGTGTGTCTGTTTTTATGCTAGTACCATGCTGTTTTAGTTAATATAGCTTACTGAGATACCATCTCACTCCAGTTAGGATGGCTAATATCCAGAAGACTGAGAATTATAAATGCTGTCAAGGTTGTGGAGAAAAAGGAACCCTCATACACTATTGGTGGGACTGCAAAATGGTGCAGCCTTTATGGAAAATGGTTTGGAGGTTCCTCAAACAATTACAGGTAGATCTACCATATGGCCCAGCTATTCCACTGCTGGGAATATACACAGAGGAATGGAAATCATCATGTTGAAGGGATACCTGTTCTCCAATGTTTATTGCAGCACTATTTATAATAGCCAAGAGTTGGAACCAGCCCAAATGCCTATCATTAGATTAGTGGATAAGGAAACTGTGGTAAATCAACACAATGCAATACTACTCTGCTATAAAAAGAATGAAATACTACCATTCGCCAGCAACATGGATAGACTTAGAAAAAATTAAGTGAAATAAGTCAGGCACAGAAAGAGAAATGCCACATGTTCTCACTTATTTGTGGGAGCTAAAAATAAATAAATAAATAAATATACAAAGAGGGGGGCAGAGAAGAAGACACAATAATCACAGCAATTCCTTAAACTTGTTAAGACAAGAGAACAGATATGATGTTGATGGGTACGGGGGAAGAGGAAGGTGGGAAAAATGAATCGGTAAACGGACACGAAAATCAACTACATTGTATACTGATGAATTAAAATAAATAAATAAATAAATAAAAAGAAGAAAAAGAAATATGATACATGCTCACCACACTTATTCAACAGGATTTAAACATACTTTATTAATTTTTCTATTATCATCATTACATTTATGAAATCTGTTGTTGACTAGGATAATTACATAATTTAGTCTCCAAAGCATGACATTTTTAAAAGCAAAAGGGTAAATATTAACAATTATGCAGGGTAACAGGTGTGAGCCAGAATTGTTCTGATCAAACTGAGGCCTATACTCTTTGGCCTTTAATGAAATATACTTATAGCAAAATTTATTTCTCCTCTGACATTTTATAAAAGAAAGCTTCATTTCTAGGGGAACAGGTAGAAGAAAGATCAAAAAAATATGATTCTGGGAACAAGAATTGTGTTAATTTGAGTGTGTGTGATAGTTAATTTATGTTTCAACTTGACTGTGCCTTTGAGTGCCAACTATTTGGTCAGACGTCATTCTGGGTATTCCTTTGAGGGTATTTGGATGAAATTAACATTTAAATAGGTAGACTAAGTAAAGTCGATTGCCCTCCATAATGTGGGGGGGCCTTATCCAGTCAGTTGGAGGCATGAATAGAATACAAAGGCCGGTCTTCCCATGAGTAGAAGAAAATTCTGCCTGCCTGATGGCCTTTGAACTGGGACATTAGCTTTTTTCCCTGCCTTCATAATGGAATGGAAACATTGTGTCTTCCTAGGTCTTGAGCCTTCCAAATTTCAAACTAGAACTATAGCATCAATTCTCTTGGTTGTCAGGTCATTGTACTAGAACTAAACCATTGGCTTTTCTGGGTCCCCAGTTTGCTGACTCACCCTGCAGATAGTGGGACTTGCCAGCCTCCACAATCATGTGGGCAATTCCTTCTAATAAATCTGTTTTTATATGTATGAGTATATATGTCCTATTGATTCTGTTTCTCCAGAGACCCCTGACTAATACAATGTCCCAACAAAGAGACTCTGAGAGATATTTTTTATTGTGGCAGGTAGGGTGGGTGGTGGGTGGATGCAGTAATCTCAGAAAGCACTGCAAAGTGAGATAGGAAGGGAAGGAAGTAAATAAAGCCTGTGTTACTGAGCAGATCCACCATGGGTAACAAGTTCAATCCCACTGTGAAACTTTGAGAGTCAATGTAGGACATGCCTCAGAATCCTTATTTGACAGGCAAGGGACAGGAGTATTTCTGGAATATTTATCAAATTCTCATTAGTGTTTGGTTGAGGATTGCTCCTAAGGTGGGGGTGGATGTTGTTTTCCTTGCACTTCTGACCTACACACAACACTGGGATAATGTGTGCCAAAAGGATATGGCAGGTTCCCACCAGTTTCTGCTTTAGTAAAGTAAATTATATACTGGCAGCTAGCTGTGGGGAAAAAAAAGGAAAACAGAATATGGTTTGAGTTCTCTTAACTCTGCCAGTTTAGTATAAGTTTATTAGAGGTGAGAATTTGTGTAACGAATGATCCCTTGAAGCATGATTCAGCATTCCCTTTAGAGTCAACACACGGAATTTCAATTATAAGCAAATGCCAAAGCAGATAATGTACTTAGCATGTACTTCTATGAAACTCTCAGGAATAATTCAAATAACCTCTAAGTTACCAAAAATCAAGGGATATAATACAATAC